TTCCTCCCCGCTTGCCTCCGAATGGGGGAGGTACATGCCTTCTGCATTTCGGAGCTGCTGATAAGAGTTAGAGACGGGATTTTTGCTGGAAAATATTCTAATTCAAAGGTTATGGTGTTATAATTGTGTAATAATATTATTATTGTTGCCGTTTGCTGTTTATATATATATATATATATATATATATATATATATAAATTGTGTTTTGTGATAAAGTAGTGAGGATTGTGGGGGAGACACAAGAATGTAGCTCAGTGTTAATTTACGGAGGTAAGTGAATCTGATACAAGAATAGAGGAATATTTGGACGTGTTAAGTGTAAAGGCAAGCGTGATTTGTTGCAAAACTATGCAATGAGGATGATAAGGGAAATTGGTTGAATTCCGTGAGTTTATTTTGCATCATTTTATTATTTTAAAGTTATTTTAAAGTAAATGTTTCTAGAAACAGCTGTATGGGCTGTTAAATGCATAATGTTCTCAACTGTCTTATTTAACCTGCCAGGTCTGTTCAAAATTTAGTATTTCATTTTGCAGAACAGAATGTTGCTTCTCTGACTTATTTTAATAGTTATAATATAGTGTATTGTTGAAAGTGCATCAGCCACCACCCTAAAGATGGCGCCTAGTACAGAAGGAGGTTGACCCTGCCAGTCCCGTGACCTATCTACAGTCACGGTTGCTTCTAAAGTGACGTCACTTCCGCCCTTACCATGCCCACACCTCCTGTCTTCCTTTCCCACACATATCATGGACGTCACCCCTCTCACTTCCTCCCTTGCTGTCATTTCCTTCCCCGCCCCTGTCATGGCTGCCTCCATCATGAGGCCTACCCCTATTATGCTCGTCCCATTTAGAGACATGTTGTTTTCCTTACACTCTACATATTATGAACAGAAACATTATAATTACTAAAACAATCATGCCATTTGTTTCCCTGTATCAGAAATTTGTCCGTGATAAAAAAAAAAAAAAAAGAAGGTTGCTAAAATGTAATTTGCAACTGTGGTGTGACCTACAAATGAGATCTGTTGGACACGAATATAAGAGCATAACAGCTGATTATCCAGCTTAATCTTGCAACAAGGGAAATAGCTAAATAATGCAAGTTATTTTAAACATTGTATCTTTACTTAATCGAATCTTGCTAGTTACAGATCGTATGTTTACAGTAACATCCTTTACTTTAAATGATGGTTTAGCATTAGAAGGATTAGTGACATGTTTTATTAACCCAGCCACTACTGGTTGTTTATTTTAGTTACAGGGTGGTATAATTGTTATAGTCTAATTAATGTAAATGATAGTACCGCAATAGTTAATGTTTTATCCAAAGACATTTAGGAACTTTACTTCACTTACTATTAACCATTATTTATAATGATAGACATGTTCAGACTGCAAAAAGCTATGGCTAATGACATAGAAAGGGGTTTGAGTCAGTAACACAGCCCATACAGAGGAGAGCAAACCCGCTGATGCTTAATGCCCCTGCCATGGCAGTGTCTACAGGGAACAAGGGGGGCCACTAGCCACTGTAACTTTACCTATTGAAGGTCACCCTACTACTTTCCTGGTTAACACAGGTGCAGCCCGCAGTGTTCTTAGAGAACAAGACCTGCATGACTCATCGTTCCTGCCTGACACCGATGTCTCTTGTGTTGGTGCTGATGTCCTATCCCGCCTCCAAGCATCCATCACCCTCACTGCAGACGGCCAGTTTCAATTAAATACACCTTTGTCACGAAAAGACACTACAGTTCTTTGTTCCCTTCCCATTTTACTGTGGAGATGATCTACCCACAACAGAACAATGCTCAATTAATCTTATTTACTATCTAGCAGAACAAGGATGTGAAGCTTCACGTCTCAAGCTGCAATTCTGCCAACCTACTGTTATCTTCCTTGGCCATTGTCTGTCTCAGGGAACCAGACATCTCACTCGTGACCGAGTTAGAGCAGTACTGGACATTCCACCTCCAAGGACCTCAAAGTCACTACACGCCTTCCTAGGCCTCATTTCCTATTGCCGAGCATGGATCCCAGAAGCCTCACTCCTTATGCAACCTCTCTATGATGCTCTCAAGTCAGACCCATTTTGCTTGTCCACAGAAGCCCTTGACAACTTCTGTACTCTTAAAAGTGCTATTGCTTCTGCTCCTGCTCTTGGCCTACCAGACTATACCAAACCCTTCAAATTGTTTGTTTCTGAAAGACAAGGCCATGCAACAGGAGTACTCACTCAGGCCCATGGTCCTGGAGGCCGCCAAAGGCCTATTGGATTTTTCTCCTGCCAACTGGATATTGTGGCCAGAGGACGTCCCACTTGCCTTCGGGCCGTCTGTGCTGCCAAAGAGCTCATTGAAAGAACTGGAGATCTTGTCCTTGGCCACCCCCTGGTTGTCTTGGCCCCTCATGACATTTCTGCCATAGTCAACCAGGTCCAACTTAAGCATGTTACTCCTGCTAGGCATCTTCGCCTTCAATGTCATCTTTTGTTGCCTGACCACATTACCCTTCAAAGATGTCAAGTTCTCAATCCGTCCACTCTTCTGCCACTCCCTGAGGGGGGTGTATACTACGGATTCATCATGGACGAAACTTATGTTTTTCTTCTCACTGGCACCATCAAGAAGGAAATGCATCCCAACCTATCCTTTCATGATGGACAAGCACTCCTTCATGACGGAGCAGGATATGCCTTCTGTACCATGTGGTACAAACCAAACATCCCTCCTGAACCCTGCTATGAAGATGAACTCTATCATCTGGTCGAAGTAAAACTCACTGCACAAGACTTCTACTGTGATTCTGAAGGCAACAGTATGGTCTTGATTCATCTACCTCCGGAACTCAAGTATTTGTACCATCATTGGGACACTGCCATTCCACATGTCCCTGTGACCAAGTTGAAAACAATATCATGGAATGATCTTGGGCCTATGGCAAAAGCATGGGCCACTATGGACGAATCACAGCTACAGGAAAATGGTGTTGTCAAATATCCAACAACTGACCACCTAAAAGCATGGCCACGTCATTTCCTGGAAAATGAGTTCCAAGATTTAACCATAGTAAATGACTACGACCCAAATACACCTCATGACTGTTTTGAACAGATGAAAATGGAAACAACACATCTACCAACTGTGCATGAAGACCCATTGGTAGATCCCGATCTCACCCTGTTTGTGGACGGCTCAAGATATGCTGATGAAGAAGGAAGATACCATACAGGATATGCCGTAACCACAACAGATGAAATTGTCAAATCATCATCTTTACCATCAACTATGTCTGCACAAGAAGCTGAATTACAAGCCCTTACTTCAGCATGCAAGATCTCTGAAGGAAAGCGTGCCAATATCTACACGGATTCAAGATATGCACTGGGCGTGGCTCACGACTTCGGATTAATTTGGAAAACAAGAGGATTTCTTACTACCGCCGGTACACCAATCAAGCACGGTTCCGCAATCAAGGAGCTGATGGACGCCCTCCTACTCCCAGAAGAAGTGGCTATTTTGAAGATAAAAGCATATGGGAAGTTGGACTCAGATGAAGCAAAGGGCCACCATCTAGCTGATCAAGCTGCAAAACAAGCTGCAAGAGAACCACAGGAAGTGGAAAGAAGAGTGTCCGGAAATGAAGAAACTCCCATATTTACTCTGCAGACTCTTCCAACTGACCTGAAAATCCTACGGGAACAACAGGCTACAGTTGCCCCTGAAGAAATACAGAAGTGGAAACAGAAAGGGGCAGTTCTAAGAGATGGAGTGTATTACAACAATCTCAGATTCTGCCTTCCTAAGAATCTATACCAGGCAGTTGTTCAGTGGGCACATGGCCCTGCACACTTATCAAAAGATTGGATGATTGCCCTTGTACAGAAGTACTATGAGGCCCCTGGAATTACCACGCTAGCCAGCAATTACTGCAAGACGTGTGTCATCTGCGCCAAGTGCAATCCGGGGAAAATGGCTAAAGTCCCTCCAAAACACTTGGCCAAGCCCATGTACCCGTTTCAAAGAATTCAAATAGACCACATCCAGATGCCAAAGAGTGGCAACTTCGAATATGCACTAGTAATAGTGGACATGTTCTCAGGCTGGCCAGAAGCCTACAGAGTGGTTAACATCACCGCAAAAACAACAACTGGCCCCATCATGTACCCATGTGGCTACATTCACTTTTGATTACTGTGATATTGTAGAATGCCCATTCCCCAAGTCACAGATTCAAGCCATTTATAAAGATATACCACAAGCAAAAGACCCTTACGTTTGTGTAGTAGATGAACAATGGGGTTATGACTGTAACTACTGGGGGCTGCGGGATGGAATACTGGGCCTGCCTGGGGTTATAAACCCAAAAGTGCTTTATCTAAGATAGACAATCAGGGTAGATCCCTCCTTCAAAGAATGACTTTAAGAAAGCCTGGTGGAAGTACCCCTATGAAATTAATGTTAAATATTGAACATCCTGGCCCCGAGGATGCAGACCGATATGTAATGGGAATGTATTGGAAGAAAGGTTCCTACAACAAATTAGGTCATTTCTACCTTAGAGATATGTACCACTCTCCAGAGTGGCAAGGGGCTGATCATATGGTCCCAAATCCGCTAAAACCACATATCCAGTCCTTTAAAGATTTGATGGCCATCGCTAACCCCACTTTTGAAGATACCATGGCCGCTGAAACTGGATTCAATGACATTCATTTGTGGTTAGAATGGATGAGGTATAATGCCAACAAACATAATAATACAGCATGTTATGTATGTGGCGGTGCCCGACCCCACCTTGGCACCGTCCCCCTAATTCTCCCTTTAGAGATAGAAGATTGCTTCTTAAGCCTTTTTGCCTACCAATATGACTTTAATAGGTCCCTCTGCATGGCATGGATGGCAGAGTACCCTCTCTTAGTTGAAAATGTTAAGCCACCTGATGGAATCACAGTCTATAGAGGTAATTACACTTGTTATGCCATGTATGACGGGATTGGTAAATTCATGGGTAATTTTTCTAAAGGTTATTGCGCCACTTACAGAACTGTTCCTATACGCCTGTTGCAACACCATACCAGGTCATTGGGGGATATTTACTGGTTATGTGGGGATCTACAGTTAAGATCTAGGCTGGAAACTGAGTGGTGGGGTGAGTGTACCCTAGCCAAAGTTATCATGCCCATTCATATTATTTCTGATAATCATCATGACACATACGACCCTCCACATACACCAGCCAGAGTAAGGCGCGAAACCCCAGTAAAAGGCAGTTTTGACCCCCACATTTACATAGATGCCATTGGGGTACCTAGGGGGGTACCTAATGAATTTAAAGCTAGAGATGAAGTAGCTGCAGGTTTTGAATCACTTTTTACCATAGTCACTGCCAACAAAAACCTTAATTGGATTAACTACATTTATTACAACCAACAGCGTTTTGTCAACTACACCAGGGATGCCCTCCAGGGCCTGGCCGAGCAGTTGCAGGCCACATCCCAGATGACCTTCCAGAACAGAATGGCCTTAGACATGATTCTAGCTGAAAAGGGGGTGTATGTAAAATACTACCTGACACCATGACTTGTTGCACTTATATCCCAGAAAACACAGGTCCAAATGGTAAAGTCACTCTGGCCATAGCTAAATTAAATAGACTCTCAGAAGAGTTAAAGAGAAACTCTGGAGTTACTGATCCCTGGGAAAAATGGTTTGGTTGGATGACTGGTTGGCAGAGAGCTTTAGTCCAGATTGGTATTGCCTTACTAATTTTTCTTTTTATTCTCGCTCTTCTCATTTGTTGTGTCCTCCCATGCCTAAGGAAATTCCTGCAGAAAACTGTAGACCAAGCAACACCAACCTTCACTCATCTGACAATCGATGATCAAGATCTCATCTCACCCTGTATTCCACTACAAACTCTCCCGTATACTGATGAAGTGCAGAAAGTCTAGGAAGGGACAGTACAGGGACAGCGTCCATCTTTATGGGTAGACTGCCGTACGGAGAAGTAGTGGATAAGCCACTATGGGTTACCAGCGGAGTGAAGAGTGTACCTGAACCGTACTGACGGATGTGCTGCAGCCTGTTAGGGTCAAGAGAGGGATAGACTTGCACTTTGCATTAACACTAAGTCAGCGGTCATGGGGTTTCTGTGTCTTTGGGCTAACACATATTCTGATACTAACAAATAAAGTTTTGTCTTTTAGCAAATAACATTTTAGGGGGGACTGTTGTAGAATTATTAGGCCTCTATAAATCTGTAAGGCCCCTTTAAATCCTCTTGCTATACCTCTAAGAGGCCCCCATAGTTTTACAAGAAAGCTTTGTCTATAGAACATAGAATTTGCATGCCAGCAAGAAATAGCTTTGATAAAATGTGTATTTACTAAAAGCCTTGAAACCTAACCTTGAGAAACTAACAAGTGCCAGCTACGCTCTAAATGGATAGCTGCCAAAAGGCCCCTCCCGTCGAGTGAGCTCCTCATGTTAGCAAAATGGCGCTAAAACCTGGAGGAGTTAAAAAATGACGAAGATAGTGACTTAAGATGGTACACCCCATAGGGAGGGCATTTTACTAACATCTTAGCACCTAAGCCAATTAACAATGTCTATTTGTCTATATCTTGATTTTCTTCAATGATGTAATAATGCCTTTAAAAGGGTCTGCGCATCCATTTTCTGTCAGAAGCCATTAAACTTCTCCGAAGTTCTTTCATTACCCTGAACTTTGTGTCTCAGTGTGAATTTACTTCTGCGTGCACGCAACTTTATTATATTTAATTTGGACAGGAACAGATAGTCATTCAAACTAATTGGTTTGCAGTAAATTATCTACTACACGCTTAGACCTGAGCTATCTGGGGATATGTTAAATGTATAGTTTTAATGTAATGTGTCTTACCTGGTGTATTTTAACAGTAATGTTTGTTTTAGTATCCCCATGTGCATAATGGAGATTTGCCTTTGTCTTGGGAGATAATTGAATTACTTCTCAATTATCTCCCAGGGCAGAGGGGAGGAAGCCAGGATGCATTGTGGGAATATACTGTGACTGTGTGTCCTATTTGTCTGCTTGTCTGTCCCTTGTCACAGTTTCCCATTTGGTCCCCTAGGGGAGTGTCCACCAGGTGGGAGACCTGCATAAATATTGGGCAGGTAGCCCTCATTAAAAAGACCACTGCTTGACCCTCAACATGGAGCTCTGTCTCGTCTTTGGGGGGATTTACTGTATGCTGATAGAGACTGATTGCCAGGAGTGTAAGCCGCTTGGGTGCTTTTCCTGTTCGTCTGCTAGCAGCTATTCGTGAGGTTCCAGTTCGTGTGTTTGGAGCATTCCCTTGTATGCAGTTCGGGTGTTTGGAGCATTCCCTTGTATGCAGTTCAGGTGTTTGGAGCATTCACTTATTGGCGGTTCGTGTGTTTGGTGTTCTGCAGTAGCTGTGCCTGCATCTCTGGAAAGGGGGCCAATCGCCTAAACGGTTTTTACCCCTTTTGTGCAAAACGGTCCGTTACAAGGGATAATGGGAATTGTAGTACTCAGTTAGTGCAGGGATAATGGGAATGGTAGTACTCAGTCAGGGCAGGGATAATGGGAATGGTAGTACTCAGTGCAGGGATAATGAGAATGGTAGTACTTAGTGCAGAGCAGGGATAATGGGAATGGTAGTACTCAGTCAGTGCAGGGATAATGGGAATGGTAGAACTCAGTCAGTGCAGGGATAATGGGAATGTAGTACTCAGTGCAGAGCAGGGATAATGGGTCCCCCCCCTTATTTTACTTTAGAGCCCCCACCCGCCGTTCAGTGGTGGGGACCAATAGGTTTTTATTTTTTTTATTTTTTTTACAGCGAGCTCACTGTTTACTAGACACTGTTTACTAGACACTAGGGCTGGATTTACTAACTATTAGTAAATGTGGCTGGAAGACAAATTTAGGTCTTTCAGCCTTTTGGTAGATATTCGAACTTGAACTTTTTGATGAAGTTCGGCCGAACTTTGCAAACCCGAACATCCGGGTGTCCGCTTAACTCTAACTGTGATATTTTTTTGTTTTGACCTGTAGTGTACAATTGATCATCTCAACCATAATCTGATGTCACTTGATAAATTAACCACACCTAATTGTAATTGACTTGTTAATGTGAATAAATCACTCCTAGACTTGTTTTACTATTACTTTTAATATTGCAAATAATTTTATATTGTATAACAATCTTTACATAGAATCCAAAGAATTCAGGTGAGATAAGATTTAGCATCGATATTGATAAAGTTTTGTGTTAATTGATTTGGATATGTCCTAATTGTGATATTTATACTTTTTAGTAAACGCTTACTTGGAGGCACTATAAATAAATCACAATATCATTTAGTGTAAAAGACACAACATCTGTGTATCCAACTTGTCTGGTTAGAATTACATGTTTGCTAGTCCAACCATTGTACAGCGCTGCGGTATTTGTTGGCACTTTATAAATAATAATAAAATATTAATATTTTAATAAATATAAGTGCAGGCATTAAGTTGAGAACCTGCCAAGAATGGGGTATATCAGGAATACGCAATCTTCAGAACTCTAGATGTTGTGGACTACATCCCCCATAATGCTCTTAAACCCATAATGCTGACAAAGCATCATGGGAGGTGTAGTCCAAACATCTGGGGTATATTGACGTTGTGGCAGGTTTATGCAATGTTTGATCACATGCTGTAACTAAACCCCCATTAATTTTTGCCTAGGTGAGGTGTTTTTAAATAAAACTATTACATTCTGTGAGACTTGAAACTGTTGCATAGTGAATGAGTGAGTGCACTGGATCTTGCATATATATATATACACAAATCCAATCACTAGGCACTTCTCATTATAATGTGCTTTCAAAAAATATTATACTGCCTAGGTGCATCCCGTGTTATATATAGAACAAATAGATAAAGGGAGCACACTAGGACTTCCTTAATTAAGTGAAAAAAACTTTTTTATTAAATGCTTACAAAGTCATGATCTGTGCAAAGAAAATCAACGTTTCGACCCGCCCAGGGTCTTTATCAAGATCCATATATATAAAAAAGGACAAACTCTGGCACTCATCCTCCAAAAATGTATACAAGGAGTAATATTACCCGGGTGCTTCCAAGCCAGTCGATACATACAATCAATCAGGAGCACTCCCCTGGATTTTCAAAAAAGATATTTAATCCAGTGTTAATAACGCACATCAACGTTTCGACCCGACAGGGTCTTTATCAAGATAATAACATCATGCAAATAGTATCAATATATACCAAAATAAGAAGAGTGGGGTAAGTTAGATTTCTTCTTATTTTGGTATATATTGATACTATTTGCACATTGTTATTATCTTGATAAAGACCCTGTCGGGTTGAAACGCTGATGTGAGTTATTAACACTGGATTAAATATCTTTTTTGAAAATCCAAGGGAGTGCTCCTGATTGATTGTGTGTGTGTGTGTGTGTGTATATATATATATATATATATATATATATATATATATATATATATATATATATACACACACACACATTCTGATTGGTCCATGTCATCCCTGTAGTCCAAAAGGCATGAAAACAATGTCACGGGAATTACATGGTTATGGAGAGGCAGAAAGTGATTTCCTGTGTCTAATTATATAAATAGGAGGATGCTTCAAGCATTTTACACTTTACAGTCAGTCTGCCTCCTCCCTACACTTTACAGTCAGGAGTGCCCAGCATGCCCAGCTAGTCCATATTTGTGTGCTGATAGGCACTTAGATCCCCCTTTACACCTCAGAGTCACGCCTTCCGATATTGTGCACAGTGTGAGAAGAGAGCTTCCCGTCGATCAGGTAAGTATTCTGTCAGACCTGTCATGGTCTCTAGTTACCACAGAGTGTGTCCTTCTATTTCTGTTTTCTTGTCTTCGGCTTGTACCTTGACTATTCTGATTTCTCCAATCCTGATCTTGGCTTGTCTATTCACTGTGTATTCTATTATATTTTGACCTTGACCTGTCTTTGACCATTCTAACCTTTATCTCATATGTTAAGCCTGGCCATCTCTAAGAATTAGTACTACTATCCTGATTCCCCAACTTTGCAAGCCCATTCCTTCAGTGAGCAAGCCTGATTGTCTGCAAAGCCTGATTCCCCAACTTTGCAAGCCCATTTATTCAGTGAGCAAGTCTGTTCGTCTACAAAGCCTGATTCCCTAACTTTGCAAGCCCCTTCCTTCAGTGAGCAAGCCTGATCGTCTGCAAAGGTAGCCTTCTGGAAGACAAAACTAAGACTCTATCCTGCACACCTTCATTTATTTTTAACTTAACCACCCTGTACATTTATTTTTTTTAATTTTATTTAATTTATCCTGTGTACATTGTATATTTTCTTGTTTTCTTTTATTTATATCTTGTCTGTTATGCTAGTG